TGCTGCACTTCATGGGGTCGCAAAGAGTCAGACACGACTGAGCGACAGAACTGAACTGATATATTCTTTTCCACTGGTCAGGCTCTCCTGTCTGCTCTCAGCTGGTTTCAGCATGCACTTCTGTGTCTGAAGGTCTATTCTTGATGCATCTGTGGAGAGAGATGTACTCCATATCCACCTACTCCTCCACCATCTTGTTCTCCCCATCGACGCTTTTCTTTATTCCATTAAATCTTCAATCATATTTCTTGCTGTATTTTTAAAGCCTATGTTTTAATATGTCTTATCAGTTATAAAAATGACTTAAATGTAAAATCTCTTTAATTGAATTATTTAAAGCTGTTTGAATCAGTTAAACCTCAAGAGACTTTGTAATTTCATGCACAAGCTAAATCATATTATGTTTTGCTTAATGGAGCTAAGTATTTAGTGATTTCAGTCAATTATCACTGCTAATTATAAACATTGATTTAAAGTGACTTGCTTTTGATCTTTTGAAGTAGGTTTCTTACAACATATCTTGCTTCCTCAAATGCTATTGAATTTCAGCATGTAAATTTTGAATTTAATTACTTGAATTATCAAAATTTACATTATTAAAAGCCTGGTATGTTAGAGGTATAAAGATATAATCAATTTTTCCATGTGAGAAAAGAAATAATGTTGAAAAGATGAGACAGTGTTCATATATAGAGTTCTGAATGTTCTTATTTAACAAAGTCAGAATCAGTGTCCACTTATCCCTTGGGTGAAATTATGTTTTAAAAAGGCATGTAATTCATTTAAGAGAGTGTTTTGGCTAAAATAGTCATATAAATAATAATGTTAAGTTATAAAATACACAAAATGTTATATTGTGTAGATAATGGAAAATACTAATTATTTGTATTAATATATATTACCTAAATTGTAATGGGGCTTACTATCAATTTTTCTCAAATTTCTTATAACAAAATCAGTATAGCATTTGAAAAGATACCTTGCTCAGTATGTGACAATCCTCTTTTAAGGATTGTTGTTATTTAGTAGCTAAGTCATGTGCAACTCTTGCAACCGCATGGACTATATAGCCCACCAGGCTCCACTGTCCACGGGGATTCTTCAGGCAAGAATATTGGAATGGGTTGCCATGCCCTCCTCTAGGGATTTTCCCAACCCAGGGACTGAACCCATATCTCCCTCATTGCAGGTGGATTCTTTACCAGTTGTACTGATACTCATATGCTAATCCTTCCATTCCTTTCTTGCCTCCAACAAAAATTCATTGATGAAATGAAGTTCCTTGAAGTTGCATAGTATAATTGAAACATTATAATTAATAGTATAATTCACTATTGTATCACAAAGACAAAGATTAACATTAACACATTAACCTTACTTGGCTTCAGGGAAGCCCTGTGATTGTTTATATAGAAACATATATAGCTTGCACTATTTCCAGATACTAGAAGCCTTGTTAATACCCCTGTACCTAACAGTGGTTAGCACACAGCAGTTATTGCCTAACTCTCTTTATCTTTTAAAATATGCACACCAATAAATAAAAGCAAATAACTTGTAATATTTAGTTCATGTTTCAAAGAAAAGAAAAAGAAAAATCTTCTATTCTCAGGGAGAGAGAATGGGTTTAAATAAAAGATCTAGGGACTTTCCCCAGATAGATGTCCTAATTTCCTTGACCACTGACTGCTATGTGCATCCCCATTTGGCCACTTCCCATATGTGTCTATTGCATTCTTCCTGTGCCTTAGATATGTGAGACCCACATACCTTGTTTCTTTCTAAGTATTCAAATGAAGATTAAGTGGAAAGGACTTAAGGAACCCTTGTGTGCCTGCATCTAATTTAGTTTTTGAATTCCTGGATAATAAACTTGATCCTCTTGCTCTGTTGGCATGAGACTTTGTTTGCATTGAAAGGAAATCGTACATATTTCACGAGAGAGGAAAGAAGAATTGCTATTGAAAGGAAAAAAAAAATTGTACCTATTAAAAAACTTAGCCACACATATTCAGGTACAGCTCTTATTAAGAGGTGATGTCTGTATCCCACAGACTCCCCACAAACTGCTCCACCTTGAGACTAAAAGGCTTGTAACTGCTTTGACAATGTAAGTTATATGATGTAACTTCCAATGCTGGATCATAAAAGGCCACAAAGCTTCTGTAGCCTAGAAAATTGTCTTAGAGCCTATAGCCACTGCTCAGTGACAATGCTAATACCCACATGGAGAGACCAATATAGGCATTCTGTCAGACCCCACCTGAAACTAGCCTTTGTTTCATAAATTTTATTAGATGCTGGACAATACAAATTCCCTATTGTTGAACTGTGGATTTTTCTGACAGACAGTTCCTTGCTGACCGCCTTGATTCTTTGAAAGCTTCTTGAAAACTGTGTAGGCATGTATGAATTAGCTTTTTTCTTAGGGAAGTTTAGCCTTACTATTGACTATGACTTGCCTTGACCCTTTACTGAGTAGAGTCTCACAGGTGTTCCAAGGGCATTCTGACTTTTCCAAACTTCAAAGTCTCCTAGTCCTGTTTGGATTCTTGGAAATTTTGAATTTACATTTCTTCTATTGTTTCTTGCTTGGCCTCATGCATGTATTCTAACCGTATACATATAACACCTAATATTAGAAGACCGCTCTAGGGAATGTGTATGCAAATTTCAAAAGTGCTCTAATCACCTAACTTTGTCTGCAAATTGCTCTGCCCAGCAAATTTCAATGGCCTCAGCTTCTCCTAACTCCTATCTCTACTCAGTTCCAAGAGCTCCAAGCTCCCCCTCCACCCTCCATCTCCTAGTCTCTGCATGGGGAACTGGAATATGTGTCCAGGCAGAAAACCAGGCAAATTGTGGGGCTTTTCTCACTTCTCTCCCTCCTTTCTTGTTCTCCAATAACTACAAACAATAATTTTAAAGTTATTGTATGTAATTTGTCTAGTTTTTCAGTTATTTACAACGGTGGTGGAAGTTCAATCATCGTTACTCATTCATGGCCAGAGAAGAAATCTCCATTTGAATTTAATCCTTATCTGTACTACAGGCATAGGGCTGTGCATAAAAGTGGAATACCCCCCATACATTAAATGATGTAATAATCATAGTGGTATCCAAATTTCTAAGATATTGTTATATACCTTTTATTCTTTGTCAAATAGTGCCAATGAAACTACTGAAAGCAAACTGCATATTATATAATATTATTATAATACTCTTACAGATTCTAGTAATTAGAAATATGACATTTTTATGATAATGTTAATAGGACATGAAACTAAAATTCAAATACGTACAGTATTAATATAAATTTTAAATTAATAATTTAGACTACAGAATATAATTTGATGACTGAAGAAGTTATCAAAATAAGGTGGGGGATGGTGAAAATGTTGGTTTTTCTTTAAGAGATAATTTTAAGCTAACTGAAAATGGCCTTATTTCTTTTTTTCTTTTGGTAATAAAATACCATTCACAACTATGCATAAATAGTTATTCTGTTCATTTTGATATGTTCCTTTCTTTGAGGCAAAATCTATCATATTTGCATAGGAAGAGTTGGAAGACCTATCAAAAATATCAGACAAATATAAACAAAAATCTTAGCACAGGAATTGCACAACTATTTTTATATTTAGTATGTCACAAAATGATTAGGCATATTGTCTATACCTATAAGAAAATTGATGAATTCTATATTTTAAATTATTATTTTCAAAAATATTTAAAATTTTTTGTAAAGTAAATTTGCACTTTCTTGAATAAACTCAACAATTCCCACTAGACAGTGCTCTGCTCTTTGACTATCTTCTCCCTGGCAACTGCCTTCAAGCTTGATTTTTTTTTTTCTCTTCTTGATGCCCTCATTTTGACTTCAAATCTTAACTCTATCAGTAATGATTATGATCTCATGCAACACAGAAGAACTAGAAAACTACTCTGCCTGCAAAGACAAATTTGAAGACTGACATGAACTTTGAATTGATGGAGATATTAACATTTACAAAAGACGCTTTTTTTGATCTGTGAATTTCAGCAAAATTATATAAGAAAAACTAATAGTGAAAAGTGAATTTCTTGTCTGCTAGAAAGAGTAAATTCATTTGTGGGCTTTGCAGCCAAAAGACCTTTCCATGAACTGATAGCTTTCCAACTCCCTATCTTTTCCCCATTGCCACAAATATTATTGCTAATCAGGGAACTATTTTTGAGTGTGCTCTGTTGCCCTAGCTAAATATTTCTAGGTGCAACTGATTTACCGGCTGTGTGATCTTGGGCACACCACTTAACCTCTGTGCCTCAGTTTCTCATCTGGAAAAAAATTTATATATATATATATATGTATATATATATGTATATATATGTATATATATGTGTATATATGTATATATATGTATATATATATGTATATATATGTATATATATGTGTATATATGTATATATATGTATATATATGTGTATATATATATACAGTATTTACCTCACTGAGCTTTCCAGAAAGCTTTCGTTTATAAAGAGCTTTAAACAGCACCTGGTGAATACTAAGCGCTATTAGAGGGCTTCTATCATAACTATTATACCGTTTTTATCATTATAACTGCTGATGAAGAACAAGCAGAACTCTGTCCTGCTTTGTCACGGTCACTAATGAAGATGCTATGGACAGATCGTTTCGCAGCATCTCCGCGGCGGCCGCGGATTTCAAGAGGCGCGGATCCACGCAGAAGATCAAGGCTTGCAACCCCCGGCCTGGCGCCGAGTAGGGGCGCGGTGCTCGATTTCCTTCCCTGCCTCCGCCGGCCCTAGTGCGCATGCTCAGTCCTGCTCGGCCCGCTGCTGTGATTGATTTTTTCCTGGGCGGCCGCGGCGACCCGGGACCGGCTCCGGGATGGGGAGTGAAGCCCCCGGAGCCGCCGCGGCGGCTGCTGCGGCGCCGTGAGGAGCAGCCACGGGGAGGCAGCTGCCGCTCGTCGGTGAGTAGTCGAACCGCCACCATGACGTTTCGTAAGAAGGGCTCCAAGAACCCCCCACTCCTGAGCCTGGAATTCATCCTGCAGAATCATGCGGACTTTGTCGCCTGTGTGGGGATGTTCTTCGTGCTGGGGCTCATGTTCGAGGGGACAGCAGAAGTGTCGATCGTTTTTATTACTCTCCAGCACGGGGTTACCTTCCCTGCAGCCGAAGCAGAAGCAGAACGAGCCTCAGCACCCAAGTTCCTTTATCACTATGGTGCCAAAGACTTGGCCACCGTGTTCTTCTACACGCTGGTGGCGATCATCATTCACGCCACCATTCAGGAGTATGTGTTGGATAGAATTAACAGGCGAATGCAGTTCCCCAAACAGAGGCAAGGCAAATTTTATGAATCTGGTCAGTTTAGCGTATTCTTCCTTGTCTCCTGTATCTGGGGCACATTCATTCTAGTCTCTGAAAATTGCCTGTCAGACCTGACTGCCTTATGGAAGGCTCATACCCATAACATGATGACATTTCAGATGAAGTTTTTCTACATCTCCCAGTTGGCTTACTGGTTTCACGCCTTTCCAGAACTATTATTCCAGAGAAGCAGACCTCAAGAACTCTCCCAGCAAGCTGTATATGTTGGTCTTCACCTCTTTCACATTGCGGGAGCTTATCTCTTGTACTTGAATCACCTGGGACTTCTTCTTTTGATGATGCATTATTTTGTGGAATTCCTTTCCCACTCTTGCGACCTGTTTTATTTTAGCGACGAAAAGTTCCAGAAGGAGTTTTCTCTATGGGCCATCGTGTTTATTTTGGGTCGACTTGTGACTTTAATTGTTTCTTTGATAACTGCTGGTTTTCAGCTGGCCGGAGGGCAGAATGGGAGTTCGGATGACTCTGCTGAAGATGTGAATGTGTTGGCAGCTAAAATTGCTGTTCTGTCATCCAGTTGCTCTATCCAAGCGTACGTAACATGGAATTTATTTAATGTCCAGCTTCAGAGGTGGATGGAAGAAGATGCTCCTCTTCAGGCCCCAAGTGTGAAGAAGAAACGTATTAAGGGCAGATTTTGTAGAAAAGGAATGGAAAACGGTGTGGCAACTTCTAATTGACTACTAGATTCTCCCCAGATGAGGAAAGAAAAGTCTTCATAATGAATTTGCAAGTTAATTGACTAAAGTCTCCAAAGAAGTCTGCTCTTGACTATAACATACCTTTCTTTGCTAAGAGAAGGAAATGGCAACCGGTATTCTTGCCAGGATAGTCCCATGGACAGCGGGGCCTGGTGGGCTGCAGTCAATAGGGTCACAAAAGAGTCGGACACCACTGAGCAACTGAGCTCGCGCGTACACACACGCACACACACACATACACACACGCGCGCGCGCACACACGCACACACACGCACATACACACACGCGCGCGCGCACACACGCACACACACGCACATACACACACGCGCGCGCGCACACACGCACACACACGCACATACACACACGCGCGCGCACACATGCACACACACACCCTATCTTCGCTAGAGAATTTTCTGTTCTTGAAAATATATTGTCTTTGATTTTTGTTACTGTACTCTGTAAGGTATTTTTGAAGGCATTTGAGGAGAGAGTATTATGAGTGCAAAAAAATTTAGACTAAGCTATTCATCGTCAAAATAGTTTAAATATTTCTACGCTGTCTTATTTTATTATTATTATTTTTTACCTTTGAACATTTTCCTAATGATTTGTAGAGATAACTCCAAAATCTCATGTGTCAGTGACACAGTTCTTACTCCTGCCAATCTTTTGTAATGTTAACAAGATGGTCTTTTATAGCAATGACATATTTTTAATGTTCTCTTCCAGGATAAAATAGAAATATTATAAATCTGGAATTCGACTTCATTAATTTTTCTGTATTCCCTAAGTCTTAGAATTTTTTTTTTAATTTACAGCTTGAGAAAAGATTTGTAAAATTACCAAAGTAATGATGTGTTTTATAGGTAATGGTTGTTACATCCCACTAAAAACCCCAAGATACTAATGGTTAACATGTAGAAATTTATTGCTATATATTGAATCAAAGTATCTTGAATTAATATAAAATTAGCACTAGGAAGTAAAATCATGCTTGTTCATTTTAAACACTTATAAACTGGAAATCAGAAAATTAAAGATGGTTTAAAGAAAATCAGCCTTAAATAGCTTTTTTTGATACGTGTATTAAAAATTATTCTTAATGAGGTTTATAATAAGTTTGATATCCACAGCATCTTGAAAGATATTGTTTAACCTATAAATCATTTTGAAAAGTAATGCTTATTTAATTTATATCACTGAAAAGAATGTCATCTGATTACATGTTATAAACACTGAATATACTAATCTTAAATGTGAATATCATATTCTTATGGAAGTTTTTTCAAAATAATATAAATATAGCTTTGCCGCCATCTTTAATTGGGAAATATTTATCTGTATGAGACACGTTTTGGAGAGATATATGTCTATATGTATTTATATATATATATGTATATGTGTATATATATATATATATATATATATATACACACACACACACACACACAGCATATATATATATGTCCTATCTTTAGAGAAGCCAGTAGAAACAATGGACTGCAGTGTGTATTTACTATATGTATTTTTTTCTCTCAACCTTTAGTTTGATTTTATTTCTATAATGTGATTGCTTGTATTTTTTTTAGTAGACAGTGCTTTAAAAATATGCTATGATAAGGTTATATACTTCCTGTTACTCTCTGTTTTCCCCCACTATGTCTCCCATCTCTCTACTTTTGATAACTTTCCCTTGGCTTGTTGTAAGTAATCCAACCTTCCTAATCACAGGGGTCCCTGCAAATTAAACTTAGTACATGAGGACTGTGGACCAAAGGGAGGGGCCGCTTTTAGCAGAATATTCTTCCATGTTCTTTCTGCTCTGAGAGGTACAAAGCAAGATTGTTTCTGTTTTGTCTGTAGAATCCACCATCCTACTGCTTTTCTTTGTTTTTTTCAGTTGCTTGTAGTTTTGGTAGCACATGCTCTAGTTCCGAAGTACAAGAAACTCCACTTTAACCAACCACCACGCAGTTAGTTATGAAACAAGGGTTTCCAACTTCTTGTAAGAAAGACTGTTCTTTCTCACTTCCCTCATTTTTAAAGAATTCTCCCCTGTTACTTGTAACCTCATTCCTGGAAACAAATTTTTTATCCATTATATATGTAATTTATTTTCCAGTAAGTGCAGGCATAACTCAGTCTAGGAAATGACAGCAAGAAATGTGTTTCCTTATGTGATTGGCAATGCCAAGAGTTAAACTGGGATTGATATTAAATATGATTAGGGCCCAGATCAATTTACCTGGGATTTTATGGGGCTCTGTCCTCCTCAGATTATCTGCTTGGCAGCACAGGACTACATATGTTCTAGGCTTCATATCTGCATACCACATACATGATAGAGAGGAAGAGAGGAAATCTGATTTCTGGAATTCAGGTGTCACTGAGAGTTACCTTGACTGAACTTGTTTGATATAGTGTTGTACTGGACTGATTGGCGAAGTCAGGTTATACCCTTCACCTGTGAAAAAAAGGCAAAGCTTTCTTGTAAAATGTGGATCACAAGAAGTAGCAAGGTTGAGGAAAAAAGGGAAGGATGCTGGGTACATCTCAACTATTCATAAGAATTCAATACAGAAAAGAAATGTATGTGAAGTAAATTATGAAAGTCACCCTATAAATTAAATTCGGCACAATACAAATTGCTAAGTTCCTTTTAAAAATTCTTAAAAACATGCCATTCTTAAAAAGCATGTCATAATAAATCTCAGTGTGACAATTTGATTTCTATCAAAATGGATCACATGGAAGCAGAAATTTCCATTTTCATTATTCAAGGTATGATTAAATCAAGCACTAGTTACCCCTATGAAAATTTACATAATTAGTATTTAATCACCAAGTGTTGAGAAAGTCATAAAGATGTCTGATCACTGACTTTGAAGATATCACTCTGATTAATAAATCAGTTTTAGGGCTTGCCAAGCTTTATTCTTTAGGTATATCTATAGGTATTGATTTTCTAGGATGGATTTAGAGTGAATTTTCCTTAAAAATTTATTCTGCTAGCATTTATTTATAAGTGTATCTCATTTTTTAAATAAATAGTAGAAGTATGTTACTCAAGCTACCTGTCTCAAAGAAATAAGCATGTTATATATATGACCAGGATAATTCTACATTTCATTTATGTAAGAAAGCAACAACCTGTAGATATTTCTTCATTTATATCTAGTCAGTATTTAATTATTAGTAGAGGAAATATGTACTGCCAATAGTGTGTTAACTTGGAATAGAGTCTCAAGAATATTAATTGCAACATTAATATTTTAAAGCTTTTTGAAGACATAAAATATTCTGATATCTTTTTAATCCAGAAAAACCTGGGTAAAGTTTTAAGTTCTCACTCAACTAAATGGAATAATTTATATAGTATAATAAAAGACATTACTGATTATTTACATAGGAAATGATGTCTTGGAGCAGTTCCTGAGATGAAATTCTATCCTTGAGAATGTGGCATGTGGAGTGGGCTAGACCTTTGGTATTTGAATTATGGCAGAGAATACATTCCAGTTGCAAGTCATAGACAATTCACTTGCCTGGCTGAAGGGGGTATATAGAGTGGGTGAGCAAACGGAAGTGATTGAGGCTTAATGACAGATCAGACTACCAGAGAATTCACAAATATGTCTTGAATTTCTCTGGAAATAAAGGGTTTTTTAACTGCTGTGTTTGAATCAAATCTATATCCTGTGAGACACTTTTGTACAAAATAATATGGTGAATAATAATACATACTAAATAAGACAGTAGTATCTGCCAAGTCCCCTCAATTATGTAGGAAAATTATCATAAATCCATCATACAAAACCCCCTACATTTCTAAATATTAGAACTGTTCTCATCATTGAACAGTCATGTGACTATCTAAATTTTGGCCTCTAGACCCTTATAAGCAAATCCTTTGTAGGTCCTGCACCACCTCTGGTACTTCTAAGTATTTCCACAAGTGTGGGATGAGTCAAACATTAAGAAAGCTGTCTTCTGAGACATTTCACATTCTTTGTCCCTTTGTGTTTGGGGCTACTACATTGTGTCAACTGACCTTTTTTCATTTTGCAATTTCAAAAATACACTGATATATAAACTGACTATTTCAGAGGATACTTACAAAGCTTAGCAAATGACAGTGGGATGTGATATATGGTTCAAGGTTTGCTTAATTTTGACATGCACAAAACTTAACAGTAATGATATGGACATCGACTATCATAAAAGTTATTGGAGTTGCTGATAAGGAATGTGGCTCTTCGATAATTCAGGCAAAATACCTATTTTAAATAAAGGGAAAGTGAATTCCCTAAACTAAAAGTAAAAAAAAAAAACCACTCAGTTTCAATATCAACAGCACTATTCTTCAAATCAAGTAATGTCAGTTCATAGAATCTCATGGCCTGATGAAAATTTGAGAAAAGAGAACATTTCCTCGTGCCCTAAGGCATGGAATTTTACCTAAGCCATCACACACTATAAAGTATTTATATCCAAGATAGATTTAATATTTCTTCCTCTTGCTGCTTAATTAATTTTGAAAAGCTGGCCCTCAAATACAGAATTGCCAAAATGTGTATTTTGTAAATTTAATACATTTAAAAAAACGTTTCCAGTTGTATGGTTATAAATTCAGCAATGAAAGGTAGTAATGCGATTGTAAATGATGTTTAACAAAAGTCAGTGTTAACCCTTTTCTCTGGCCCTTAGATCTGTGTGAACTTTGTAAGACCCTTAAACATTCTAAGTCTTGGATTGCGTGTCACCAAAATGGCAAAGATATTTATATATTTTAAAAAGCTATTATAAAGGTTAAAAATACATTCACATACAAAGTTACAAGTAGTTTGTGTGTGTGTATGTGTATGTATGGTTTCCTTGGTGGCTCAGTATTAAAGAATCCACTTGCCAAGGCAAGAGACACAGCTTTCAATCTCTGGGTGGGAAAGATCCCCTGGAGAAGGAAACGGCAACCCACTTTAGTATTCTTGCCTGGAAATCCCCTGGATAGAGGAGCCTGGTGGGCTGCAGTCCACGGGGTCACAAAGAGAGTCGGAAATGCCTTAGCGACTAAACAACATGTATATGTATAGAGCTATTGTTAAGAGATGTAGCTTAACAAGATAATATTTGTTCATGTATTGCCTCTGTATACTTTCACATTCTATGAATGTATACAGTCTCATTTGAAAGTGAAATTTGCTCAGTTGTGT